AAATAATAGTCAAAACCTAGAATATGGCCCAGCATCTACCAGCCTGCTGGGGGGTTGCCGGGACCAGGGGGAAGAAGCTCCCTTAGTGAGTACGGTTACTCAGGAAGAAAACAAATTACTTAAATGGGCAGGTAGCGTTTGAAAGTGAAGTAGCCAAATCTGAGTTCTGTAAAATCTCCAAGTTCTTGGTTCAAATGTATTTGGAATTATAGGGCCGGGAGGTGCCTCTGCATGACTTCCCACCCATGGCCGCCTTACCTCCGTGAAGAACTCCCAATTACCACAAGTTCGTGATGACTGAGCCCAAGGGAATTAAGATGGACTTTGAAGCAGCTTTTACGGTACACTTCATCTACATTTGGGTTTTCTTTAGTTCTCATTAAAAGGGCCACTTTCTTCTTTTCATTGATATACTGTCTTTGTGTCCTTCATTTCACACTCTTTTAAAAAGTTCTCTCATCAGATCAAGTGCAAAAAGGAGGGATGACATAATAACCATCATAAGCATGATAACAACAACAAACAACTGGTACTGTGGGTTTAAAGCTTTTTAAAAAGAAAGTTTTCTCCTCTCTGAGGCATGGCCCTTCAACAATTAAAAAAAAAAAAGCTAGGGTTGAGAATGGACATAATAAAAGTGTTTCTAAGATTCAATTATAAATACAGGCAGGCTTCAAAAATCCGTGTGTGTGAGAGATGAGCTGTCCTCTCCCAACCTGATTTTTCACAGAGGCATCTAATAATCACCTTCGAGGTGTTCAAACAAGGACACTATCCCTTTTCTAGTGAGAAGTAAGGATGTGACAGGTTTTGTTACTGGGGCGAGGGAGAACTTTGCAAAGTATTGCCTTTCTTTCCCTCACAAATACACCATCTTTGACTGAAGACCTCTGCCTGAGAGCTTGACTCCTCTGCTGTCTCAGCCAGTCTGGTCAGTGAGTCCACAAAAACATGTTAAAATGTTTCAGCAATTTTTCCCAACCCCAAAAGATGTTTAAAAGTTAACAGAACATTCTTTCTCCTGAAAAGCATCAAGACCCATTTGCACACTCACTTCCTACCTAAAAAGAGAAAGAAAGGAAAGGAAAAGGAAGGAAAAGAGGGGGAAAAAAGAAAGAGCTCCGCGTTAAAAAGGGGAGGAGTGGGAGTAACTGCGAAACCTTGAAAATTCTCCTATTCATATTAGGGTTTTTTTTTTTTTTTTCTTTCTTTTTTTTTTTTTTTTTTCTTTTCCTCTCCCTTTCCTTGTTTGCCCTTTGAAAAGGAGTCCTGTCACTCAGAAAGGAGCTGTTTCTTCAACCTCCTCCCCATCCACCCACCAGCCGGCCCCCCTCAGCCTCACAGCCTGGCCGAGGCCCACCCCGCGGCCCTCCCCGCACACACAGTTCCTTCCAAGTGCTTTTCAAGTAAGAGCTGGAGATGAGAGGTGCGGCTTCTCCAACGCAGAGCCAGACAAGTACTTCTCTTCCCGGCAGAGCGCGGCCCGGGCGCAGCCAGCCCGAGGCGGCCGCTGCTTTTTATGTCAAGAAGCCACCAGGCACCCCGGGCTGGCCGCCCCTCCCCGCCGCGGGCCCGCAACGCGGCGCTCGAGCCGTCACGTGCCCGCGCCCCGCGCCCCACGGAGCCCTTTGTTAGCCCCGCGGGCCCACGCGCGGCCGCAGCGGCTGCAGGGTGCGGCCGCGCCGAGGCTCCGAGCTGACCGCCGGGCCGGCCCGGCTTTGCCTCGGCTCGCCCGGACAGCCCCGAAACACCTTGGGCGGACGCGCCGAGCGCTTGGCCCATTGAGATTCCCAGCGCTTTGGGGGAAACGGATCCGGGCCACCCCCTATGTTTCAAACCAAAGGCACAAAGGGGGGCGAGAGGCCCAAGGAGGGCGCGCCTCCGCACAGGGGAGTAACCACTGGGCTGACTTCCCTCCTCCTTTCCATTACGCCTCACCAGTTTCTCGTCTTTTTTTTCCTCTTATCCTCTGCCACGCTCAGAGGCTCGGTGGGTGGGAGTGTGTGTGTGTGTGTGTGTGTGTGTAAATGTGTGTGTGCGTGTGTGCAGTTAGGTGGAAATTTCATAAGAATATGTTCTACACTTATAAACTTGCCAGAATGGGGGAGTATACTCTCCAGTAAATGCACTGGTGGGAGAGTTTAAGCGACTTATTTGGGAGGAAATAGGGGGTCAGATTTGGTCTAAGTGGAACATCTGCAAAACATTCAAGCAGCTTATTCAACAAAGAATCTAGCCATTTATTGTAGAAATAATAAAAAGCCACTAATGATTATGGTTCCCACCCCTTCCCCCAAAAGGCCAAATCCTAATGAAATAATTCAAAGGTAGGCCTCATTTCCTAATAGTGGAATTAAACAACAACAAAAAAGAGCCCAACTAAACTTTCCAGCTCTGCTTTCTTAAGGGCCTGGGAACCTTGCTGAGAAATTAGGTAAATAAAAGGCGGGCTGGAATTTCTGTTGAGCTCAGGCTGCAGTGCCCCGACTTGCACATAGTTGTGCTTTGATACACAATTAAATTACAGTAAATTCCTCCTTAAATAATAAAATTTGGAAGACTCTTCAGGATTCGAAGATGTCTGGGGTTAAGTAGCTTTTAAACCGTCAGTTTTCAAATGGTTTGTGCAATGAATAGCTACCTTTAAATCCTAAAACCATTATAAATATGCTATACATCTGGGTGCCAGTTTATCTCTCCATATTTCTTTTTAAAATGAGGGAAGCATTCATAAAAAGCTACTTGGCACACTTTATTTTAGGAAAGCAGATGTTAATTTTTTCACGTATCATTTTATGACCAAGTACATGTGTAACGTTGGAAAGCATCCAGAACGCCTCTATTATTTGCTAAATGACTGTTAGTTGAGGCATATTATTCTCAGCCTTACCATGGTATAGGTTATATCAATAAAGTAAACATCTGTGATTTTTTTTTTTTTTTTAACCAGGGGAAGGGGGTATAAAGAGTTACTATAAACGAGGGGGGAAAAAGAGTTTGGGCAGGAAGAGCACACCTGCGTTGTAGCAAATAGGATATTTATATTGTTCGGTGCAAAAACAAAGTCCCTCAGTCGGGCACTCGGGGATATTTACATGGCGGGAGATAAAGTTGAAAGCCTTTCCTGGCGTGCCAAATGGGATTCTCCCTGTGGCCTTCTGCGTCGCAAGATAACAGGTACTGAGCGCTCCTGGCGGCGTCGGGCCTTTGCCCGCCGCACTCCCCTCCCCCGCAAGCCAGCCCCAGGCCCAGCCCGGGTTGAGCCAGGCGCTCAGGCTCTAGGAATTCCCAGGCACCGCGGAAATTTCAGCGGGGTTCCCAGCCTAGAAATATGCTCGGGAAGCGTCCTCATTTGCCCTGCGTCGCTCGAGGACGCCGGCGCCCAGGATGAGCCAGTGGCGTGATAATTAATGGAATACAATATTTATGGTCCGATGTATTGACTCTGAGGCAAGCGCGCCGTGTAGACAGTCCGTGGGGGTCTGACAAACAGGAGGTGAGTGAACAAACGTAATGACCAGAGTATTTATGTCTATCCGGTTTACTCACTTAAACCTGAGGTATGGAACATCATGATAAATATTAATATCCACCTAGACAGCTCCACCGTCCTCCTAAGCTCTCCCTTCCTGAATGCTGCCCTTTACAAAAAGGCCAGAGAAGAGGTTTTTAACATAAAATGCTGCAAATATGAAAAATAGGTCACCAATAAAATTGGTCTCAGCATGGAGCGTAATTGCAACAAAGTGCCACCGAGTAAAATCGAGGAGTGAGCTGGCTGGGGCGGCACAGTCGCGAACCATCTGGTGTGTATTAAAAGTGGTGCTGTAAATATTGCTGAGAGCTAATGCATTATCGGCTTCTATAAGTGCACAGGGCCTGCAAGCTTTCCATATGTTAGAATATGTAGATCGGGCGAGCGTAGAGAAAGGTGTCCTATCAATTATAGGCTTCTAAAGCATGGTTTTGCCCCCTCTTTGTGGGATTTTGGTCCAAAAGTGTAGAATATTCATTCTCAATTTCTCCTTCCCACCCCCTCCCTTTCCCTCTTCTCTCAGCTCGCTCTTTCTCTTTTTCTCCAGCTCTTTCTCCCAGCTCCCTCCTTCCATCCCCTCCTCCTCCTCCCTCCCTTCTCTCCAAGGGGATAGGACAGGCTTTGCTGACGTCACTTCACATCAGTAAAAGAGAGTAACTGTTTCAGAGAGAGGGAGGAAAAAAATTCATCTGTTTTTCATCAGTGCTAAAGTTTTGCCTTTTTAATAGAAATGAGCTGCCCAGCCTGAGTACTCCTTCTGTTTTGAAGCTTTTGGGGTGGGAGGGGGGTGGTCAAAGAGATTGGGAGGTGCTCTTCATCCTGTGAGCTGAATCATCCTATAAGTGGCTCTAATGCCAGAATCAGTTCAAATAGATGAAACTAATTAAAATAAGATGTAACGATGATGTCTTCAAGAAGCTGCACATCCACACCTACTAGGCACCTTTTGCCAAGGAGGGTGGAGGGCTTCTGGTTCCAAGGCTCTTCTGCTCTGAGTCCTGGAACTTCTTCCCTACTCTCCCGTTCCTCTCTTCATAATTCCACCCCCCACATACCGAAACCGCCACACGCAGCACAGCTAATAATTTTCCTGCTGTCACATTACTTTTCTAGGGAAATCAGAGTGCTCCTTTTCCTGACCACACCCCACATTTAAGAGTTTACTCTAACTACCCCCTCCTCTCCTCTGAGGTCCCTCCTCCCATGTCCCTCAGCTCCAGGTCTGTACGCAAATCCAGCACTCGGAAAGTGCTTCACATTGTCCCACAGAGATCATTTTCTGTCTCCCCAAACTGTCCTCACCTCTTTCATTCTCCCTGTTCCGTGTCATCCTCCCCTTCCCCTTCTTTCCTGCCCACCTCGCCCTCTGGTGCACACATAGGACAGACCGCCAGCACTTCCAGTGTGGATAAACCTGCTGCGAGTGACAACCCAAGTTCAATCAGCAAATAAATAAAACTCTTACTTTTTTTTTTTGGCTGCCGGCTGCATTCCCCCTCTGGCCGTTGCCTCCTTTAATTATAGGAGCTATATTTCTTCCCTGGGAGACATTCGAGGGGATTTTTAGTTGGAAACTCGTTTCTGCTGAGTTATTTTGGAGCCAGGACCAGTGAGTGAGTGGCCCGTACCCACAGGCTTTGAGTGAAGTGCAGATTGAGACATATCGAGTTCCCTCTAAAAGGATCATTTCATGTGGGAGGTTGGACACAAAGTTTGCACTCGTGACTGGCATTCCAGTGAGAGACATGCATATTTTAAAACAACAAAGCAAGCAAGAAAGAAGGCTTAGGGGAGGGGGGGGGACTTGGAAAGAAGTTACTAAGTGACAAACATCTGTCAACATGGGATAATTTGTACACGCCGATGTAAAACTATCTGCCTCATTTGATGGAGTTCAAGGCGCAGGATCTAGGAGAGCAGTAGATAAGTATTTATCCCTATGAGAGGTACTTAACTAAGACACTTTTCCCAAAATAGGTGTAAGGTGATTAAAACTGTACGAATGAGTATAATCTTAAAATGTTTCTTAGAATAGCGGAGGCCTCTCAAATTGCTCATTTCTGACAGTTCACACAAAATTAGACCCCATTTCATTTTGAAAGGTGTACTTTACTTCAACAGTGGACTGATGAAGTAATAAACAGAACACTTATTATAGAAAATCAAATGAATTTTGTCATAACAAAAACAAAACCGAGCAGAAAAAAGAAGAGAAACAAAAATCTCAAACCACCCCTGGTTGCTGTGTTCTAGAAATCTTTAAAAGTACCAGCTTTACATGTGTATGTGAGCCAAACACATAAACATCCACCTCTCTGCATGTCAACAAGGAGAAATGGCAAAATATTTTCAGAGAATTTTCTCTCTCATTTAAGCTTGGAGTTTCAACAAACATACTACACTTTAAGAGAAGAAAGCAAAAAAAAAAACAAAAAACAAAAAACAAAAAACCAACTTCCTTCTTTAGGAGGGAAGTTTTTAAAAGCAGAGTGAAAAGATCAGGCAAGATCCTGAAACGTCTCTTTATACCCTGAATCTCCATCAACCACATGGAAGTTCAGGCTCCAGCTTCCACCGAGAAATCTTTTTCTCCTCCAGATCTGAAGACAAAAGGAGAGGAGGCCTGGTGGTGAGCGGGATATCTCTGTTAGTTGTCAGCGCAGGTCCATGGGTTAGGAATGCTAATGAGCCTCTTGGCCAGCTGAAGACTTGGTTCTCTCTCGCACACCCTGACGCTCACACACACTCGGGCTCCTGCGTGCCGACTGACAAGCACACAGACAGAGCCTCGTGCTCGATCCTGTCTCTCTCCTTTTTCCTCTGAGCCCAGAGATCGATCGCTGACCCCACTGTTGGGCCCACGCTTTATTTATCTGGCTGCGCAATGATATTATCAGCCTTAAACGTTATATACAGCAAATGTCCTCCTAAATCAACACAATAGGATAGCTTGCAGAGCCCAGCCTGGTCTGTCTTAAAGAAATCCCTGGCTATCTCTCTTCTCGTTCTCCCTCTCCCCTTCCTCACAGACACCCCTTCTCCCTTCCACCTCCACGACTACTGATTTTTATACAATGGACTTGGGATTTGATCCCTCGCTTTCAGCTTGGTTGGAGGAGGCCTTAGCAGACTAGGAGATGGATAGACACCATTATCCACCCATCACTGTGATCTCCATCAGGGGTTCCCTTGTCAGCCGGATCCAACTGCCTAGACCCACTCTATTCACATGACCCGGATTTCTCAAAATTGGGGTAGAAGAGAAGGCGAGGGGTGGAGAATCGAGTGTGCAACCTTGCACCGTGTTAATTGTTTTCTTTCCTCTCAATTACATTCATAAACCTATTTTCTGCATTGCATGTTATTTCTTTGTGCTTCAAAATTGAAACCACGTGCAGCCTTCTTCCCTCCGCACACACAATAAATGCGCTGCCCCCTCCCCCAACCCCATCACACAACTATTTACATCTTGGTTACTCACTCCGCGCTCCGGCCCAGCCTGGGAGAAGAAATTGGCCCCATGGGATTAGGTGAGGCTTTGTAAAAGCATCTCTCAAATCCGTATCTCGGGGCCCCCATCTGGGAGAGAGGCTCCTGGACTCCCCTCCCGGGCCTCCTCCCACCCCTTCCTCGCACAGGTGGTTGCGGCTTACTCTGGGAGAGCTAGCAGGGAGGACATCCAGAGAGACAGGCAGCTTCGCAGTGTCCCGCCCGGCCCACCCGCTGAGCACCCCTCGCCCTGGCCCTTTCCGCCCGCCCGCGAGGGGTCAGCGGTGGCCGCCAGCGCGCTTCTGCTCCCCCTGGTCCGTGCGCCCCGCGCACCGCAGAAACCCCTGCAGTGACCGGCTGCTCCCTGGGGAGCATTCTAGACCCAGGTCCTCCCAGGCAAAGAAGTCCCACCAAAAATAAATAAATAAACCCCAAAGGGGGGAAGGGGGAGCTGGAAAATGGATTCGCTGACAAGGAGAGATAATAAATGAGAGGCGCTTTCAGATAGATATCTCAGACGTGAAATTGCGCCCAGCTGGTTGTGTAAGCAAACAAATAGTTTCATGTTAGGAACTCTCAACTTGTGGCCTGATGAATAGAACACGACAGAGGTAAATGGGTCTTTAACTCATTTAGGAATACAACTCTTTGGCTTTCCAAGTCAAAGGCCCGGTGACGCCGCGGATCCCGAGCAGGCCCTCTAACAAGAGTTTTATTAGTTTTCACTTGTGTCTCCCTGCCTACCCTCCCCACTCTCCTTCATGGTTTTCCATTTGAAGAGACATTCAGGTGATTTGTTCTGGAGAACCCAGCAGTTTATGGGAGGTGATTCCCACACTACAGGAGATAGAAGGTCTGCCTATAAGCTGGGGAGGAGGATTTTTTAAAAATAAACTTTTTGCACTCTCTAAGCAGAGGAGTTCAGGTGGGCTTGGAGGGAAGGAGGCTCCGTATTCCTAGTGTCCCTGACCTCCAGGCTGGGCGATGGGGCCTCCGGAAGCTCACCCAGGCCCTTGGCGGCTGCGGGAGAGACCGTGAGCCTGAACCAGCGTCAGGGGCAGAGTCCCGCCCGGAAGCCCAAGGCTATTCTGGGGGCCAGGAGGCACGCCCATCCCCAGCCCCCAGGGCTTCCCCCAGGCCTGGTCGCAGTTTGGGGTGTGCGTGTGGGGGCAGAGGCCACATTTTAACTCCCTCAGGCCACTCTTTGTCCCCAGGCTGCGGATGAGGCGCAGTCGTGCCCTAGAAATTCCCAGAGGAGAGCACGTCCTAAGATGGCTTTTTTTGATGTTTTCAGAAAAGCTTGTGGCTAAAGTAGTTTAAACTGACTTCAAAGCCCTTAAAGTTCTCAGTCGCCCAGCAAGTGTTTGGGTTAGAAAGGGGAGCGTTGACTTTCATATGTCACAGGTAATTTTGAGAGGGAAGTCACCTTGTGTGGGCCGCTCTCCAACAGTTATGGTGTATTTCCTCCGGCCTTGGGGACCTGTCAGTTCTATCCCACCCAGTTATCCCAGTCCTGTTTTCCCAACTCCTTAGGGCTGCTATGCCTCTGCAGGCCAAGGCAGGGCTGCACGCCCTAAGGTGAGCGTGGAGCCCACATCTGCCTGCAGCCTCACACCCGAGTTCCACGGCTCCCCCTGGTGCTTGGCTCTAAAGCGGGCTCATTGCTCAGGGCCCCCTGGGTGGCCACCCAGGCAGAGGAAACTTCCATCCATTCCATGTTGCCTTCTGTCCAGTGGCTTCCAGGGTCCGAGGGGAGGCAGGGCACTGAGCGGGGGGCAGCCTGGCCACTACTGGGGCTGCCCTTCTGCACAGCAAGGAGGCCATGGGACAGCTCCAGCCCTTAGCTCCTGGGCCTCGGACACGGGTCGGGCCAGCCAGGGAGCCTTGAGAATGCTCAGGGAGCAGAGGGGGCCCTTCCGGGCTGATGGAAGGCTTAACCCGTGGCTTATGTACTGCAGTCTCGGCTCGGAAAGCTGCTAATAGTGTGAGCAGATTTGTGGGTCCGACCTCACGCTCTGAGGGGGAAGAGCCACGGAACTCAGGCAACCTGTCTCGCCCTGCGGGAGCACCCACAGAACCACTGAGTCTCTGGGGAGCCTCTGTCCCTCTGCTTGAGACCCACAGAGACCTCCGAAGACGAGTGAATGTAATGCTACCAAGGACACGGCACAGGAAAAACCCAGTGCCTGCAGCCCCCAGCCAGGTCCGCTGAGCATGGGAGCGAACCCCCTTTTCCCTCTCTGTTCCGCTCAGCTCCAGGGCCTCCTGGTTCTCTCATGGAGCCTGCAAGGGAGTCCGTGAAGCCATACAGAAGGAAGGCCTGCTCTTCTCCCTACGTTGTGGGGGTCGGCTCCGGGCTTAGGCTCAGGCTTTGAAAGGTCGCAGGGTTCCTCAGGCCATGGGCAATGCCCCCGGCCCAGTCCCGCAAAAAACAAGTAACCACTGTCACCTCCCGACCCAGGAGCAAGTGCCTCGTACATCCCAGGCCTTGGCTTCTGGAAGGGTCCCCACATTGGGCACCTTGTGCTTGGGCCTCCATATTGAAATTAATTGAAAAATACGTTTCCGACCTACAAAAATGTTTATCTATTTTCATCAGAGGGATCACACTGTAATGAATATATTTACATCTCATTTCAAGAAAGACAGCAAAGATCGGTGAGCACTTGGAGGCAGCTCTTCTCCCCTCCCCCTCAGTGCCTGGCTGTAGCCTACCCCACCCCAAACCACACATTCCCTGATCCAGCAAACCTAGAGGGCTCTCCAGGACTTTCTGGGAGGTGGTCGGGAGTTAAATATGAACTCTTCCCTTGCCCTTCGGGCCTTGGGCGCTCACTCTTCAGGGAAGTCAGCCTAGGCCCAAAGACATTGCCCCTGGGTGTAGTGGAAAGGGTGAGGCCCAGGGTGGGATGGGACCCAGGTGAAGGCAGGAAGTCCCCTCAGTGCCCCACGCACCACGCCCTGTACCAGCCTGCCTCCCTAAGGCTCAGGCCGGTGGCAGGTGGATCTGCCGGGGTTTCTCCACAGAGAGTGTGGCATTGCCCCCCCCGCCGCAGTGCGCTGCACCTAGAATATTAAAACCTGAGGTGGCTTGGAGCTTGTTAATACATTTTTAAAGGAGTGGGGGAACCTGGAGATTTCTGGACAGCAAATGAAAGCAAAACTTTGTCA